AAAAAGACTAAAACATAATATGAAAATATAAAATAAAATACTTACAGTATAAGTGTAAATTTGAAAGATACAATTATATTAAAATTGATAAAATATAAATCATTAATTTATTAAAATATATTTATTTTGTAAAAGCCTTTAAAAATTTTAAAAGTTGAAAAGTATGTTTTCAATTTTTTCTTTTACTTTTTTTTCTTATTTTTAATTCAAATATTACGTGTTATGTGATATATTATTAGAATATCACGTGACTTTTTATAATTAAAGAACGAAATGGGTAACATGCTTCATGAAAAAAATAAAGGTCAAAATTAAATAAAAAATATCTTTAAACACCAAAGTGATAATGATGTAAATTTTATAAGACTAAAATACTATATAAATCTTTTAATTTTTATTTTTAAAATGAAGAATAACTTTATACATTGTAAATGAAAAAAAATATCAAGCAGCGGTAGAATTATGACAAACGCCCTAATAAATTTAAGAACTACAATGGTTATAAGTAACATCATATTTATAGGTAATTTATTTTCTTTTTCTATAAAATTCTTTAAGTTTATTTTCTCTAAAATTTTATAAATTTTAAATTAAGCGGACTATTGTGGGCTACCCGCGGTTATACCCATTAAACCCGCGAGTTTAACGGTCCGGGCTAAAAAGTCCGCAATTTAAACGAGCTTTAATTTTTTATGTCCAAAACCCGCACGGGCCGCGGGTTAAACGGGTAGCCCGCGGGCCTTAGCCCATACATCCACCTCTACACATAGGGCCCATTTGGATCAAGGATTTTATCATTCCTCCATGAATATTTTTTTCCTGATTAATATACCCATGTTTGAATGGGCAAAATTCCCAAGTGAGGGTAATATCTCATTACCAACAATAAATTTTTGTGTGTTTATTCCTGGGAATGTTATTTCCACATGTGTGTGAGCTTGCCTCTGCAATATCTTCTTCTCCCCGTGAGATTGCCTCTACAAAAAATTCGTTGTTTTCCTAGTGAGATTCTCCTGGTAAGATTTCTTCTCCACTCTCTTTCATTTATTTTCCCAGCAATGAGAGAAACTTTACCTTGGGAAACAGAAGACGGAGTTTGGGTTCAGAAAAATAGGATTGGCTTAATAATCGAAGGAAGGGGAATTGGGTAGGTTTTGAAATCAAGGGTTTTGATTTGGGGTAAAGAAAAATAAAACAGGAAAGAGGATATAGAGGAAGATTGGAGTAGGAAACACAAAATGCACGACATCGTTGTATGGTAATGGTTGTATGATTACTCTTTATTTTCATTTGATTATTCCGTTTCTTGATGTATTGTTTTCTAATTTTTTTAAGAATCGGAATTAGGTCAATGCTTCAAACTTCATTACATGTAATTTGTTTTACTTCTCTCTTTTTTTAAGATAAAAATTTCACGTATAATTTGATCCTCTACGTTGCTTGATTTTCTTCATTTATAGTTGTGAGTTTTGCATGTTTTCATCACTTAATCGTGTCGAATGAATAAAATTACACATTGCAATTGTATTTGTTTCAGTTTGCTACTGTTTTGCTGGATTTCCCCCTATTTTAATCCTTCTTGTCAGAAGAGTTCTAATTGCTATTGCTAGCTATGCTCTACTATGTTTTATTCCTCACATTGGAATTGCACCCTAGAAACTAAAACTCATCATGAAAGAGTTTGTTTTCTTGGTTTTGATAAATGTTGGTTTTTTTTAATTAGTGGAAGGGAAATGTTGTAAATTTTGTGTATTGAAGCCGTTGGTCTTGGCTGTTAGAATGCGGTTGTGAATTAGGACTTTTCACTATGAAAGACGCATGGTTTTATTATATGGTCAATTAGTCAGGGGTAGTATTTATATGATGTAAGTGAGTTTGAATTAGCGAAAGTATTCTCGTATTAATGAAAAGAAACGAGTAAGGAAATTGATTATACTTTCAAATGAAAAATGAAAAAGCATTTTAAATAGGGAGTTGTTGTTTATAGACTTGTTATCTGTGATCATCTTGTTAGATCATAATGTCTTCCTTTGTAAGTTTAATTAGTTGTACTTATTCACTCTTTTGGGTTCAGGTTTGGGATCGTCATTTATGAACCCAACCATGTGCTCTAATTGATGTATTTTGATGCATTGATTAAAATTGTTGGCTCACTTTGATGTCAAGTCTATTGTTCATTGGTTGTTGGAATAACTGTGGATGTAAATTTGGGTTATGTAAAACTCTTTTTAAATATTTATTTAATCCCAAGAACAGTGTTTCAAACTCTAGAATTTTTTTCAGTAATGGTGAAGCGAGAAAACACCTTGATGGCAATGGTATGATTGTAGCTTCAAGTTATGTTGGTGAAAGATTAGTATCGCTGTTGTTATCCTGTGGTGTTCATATTTGTTATATTCTGTTTTTTTGTGATATACAGGGATTGGACAGATCAAAGTTGGGACAACCAGATGAAAGGACCTTATATAAGGTAAGGCTTTAGACTTTAAGATTAAATTCCATTTGAGAACGCTGAAAAGTGAACATTGTTAAATGCTTATTAAGGTGCAACATCGAGGAGAGCCTGCTGATGCTGACTTCTTTCAGATCACGGTGAATGGAAATTTAGATGATGATATATTACAACGGCGAATCCATGATGTTAACAAGCTCAGGCAATTGCTAGATCAACAATTCTATAAATGCAGAGAAGTTGTGATGCTAAAATTGAAGCCCATGCCAATACTGCTGCCAAGGTTGAGGTTTGAATTAAGAATGTGATTCATAGCATTTGTGTATATAATACAGTCAACAATTTCACTTGTTAAAAAATATAGAATAAAGTCAATTTGATAAAAATATACATTACAGTAATCTTTTATTCCCTTCAATCAAACACAGTAATCTTATATTACAAGTAAACAAATCAAACACAATAATGTAACATTCCCAGTAATGTGTTGGATAATGTTACATTCCGATAATCCTATTCGAGAATCTTTTATTTTGTAAACCAAACGCACTCATATTGTTTTGTGAGCTTGAAGTTGACTTTGATTTCTAACAATTTGCTGCAATAAATGAACCTTTCGTTGGATGATCAAAGTAATATAGACCAATGCAATCATAAATTAGCTGATCATATTATCATATGTAATAGAGTAAGGGGAGGTAGGGTAGTAGGTTACCCCCAATATCAGGTTGAGAGCCGTTTCCGTTGAAGACCTCCGTTATGAATTGTTCTCAGTTAGACTCAATCCCACGACCACAATACAATTCCGATAAAGTTCAGATAAAGTTTTGGAACAGCATGACCGGCAACGGCATATGGCCTATAACACAAAATTCAGAAAGTTTGGAACTTCGAAGAAATTTATTATTGTTATTTCAGTAGTACCAGTTGTCGTGAAGCACGTCTTGGGTAAACCGAAGACACTGAGAATCACAGGAACCTACCTACCTAACCGAGCTTTGTAAAAAGAACAAAAGAGGAGAGAGAGAAACGTGTGTTTCCCGTGGTGGCAGCTATGGTTGTGTACCAGCTCGATTCATTCGACCCTGCTCCTCTGCCGATCCACGAGCTGGATCAGCTGCAACCCTTGGTTGTCTCGTTGGTCAACGATCGGATGCTATAAGGCGCGGAGCTGTTGGGTGCGGGTGAGTTACAAAGACCAGAAGATATCGCATATGATTCCACATCGCACATCATTTACACGGGCTACCACGATGGATGGATCAAACAAGTCAGGTTAAATGATTCAACCGTGGAAAAATGGGTTAACACCCATGGCAGACCGCTTGGACTCGCTCTCGGCCTCAATAATGAACTCATTGTAGCTGATGCTTATAAGGTTAGTTCATCTTTCTTACACAGATTAATCATGGCCTGGATAAATAATATCAATATAAGCAGAGTCGATAATGTATCAGGGACTCCTGAATATAAGCATAGATGATGAGGTGGAGCTGCTAACGGATGAAGCCGATGGCTAGAAATTCAAACTTACTGATGGTGTAGATGTTGCGGACAATGGTGTGATATATTTCACAGACGCTTCTTACAAGTACAGCTTGCATGAAGACATTAAAGACATCATGGAGGATCGACCTCACGATCGATTTATGAGCTTCGATCCAGTTACATTGAAAACCAGGGTGTTGGTCGGCGAGCTTTATTTTGCTAATGGTGTTGCAGTTTCAAGATTATGTTATCTTCTGTGAAATTGTTATGTATGTTTCGTTGTTGCTAATCTTTTCATGCTTGTGTGATTCAAGTGGACATGGATTGATGAGAAATTTGATTGCAGGAGAAGGTGCAGAAAGTATTACATCAAGGGGAACAAACAGAGAAAGGTGGAGAAATTTATTGATAATTTACCAGGCTTCCCTGATAATATCAAATATGATGGTGATGGCCACTATTGGATCGCATTAGCCGCGGTAATGACAATTTACTCTTTGTTTTCACAAGAATGTTAACAGATTCTATGAATTTTCAGATATTAGCTGTGCATGCTGTTGGTATTGATTGACCTGTTGGTAGTTTGTTACTTATTGTGCAATTTGGGCAGGCAACTTCAGTTCCTTTGGACATAGCATTTAAGTATCCTTCCATCCGAAAGGCTATGATTGTCGTGCAGAAGTATACTGAACGACTACATATGGAGGATAACGCAGGTGTTTTGGCTGTTGATTTGGAAGGAAAGCCAGTTGCCCACTATCATGATCGCAAATTATCAATGATCATGAATGGAACGACGATTGGAAATCGTCTTTATTGTGGCTCTGTTCTGCACCCCCGCATACTCAGCCTCAGTCTGGATCAATATCCTGCAAGAGCCACTGGTGAGAGCAAGTAGTACACAATGCTGCAAAATGCAAATGGTAGAGAAAAAATGTAGCTTTGTTCAACCATCTGTTGTTGGCAAACACATCACAATAGCGAGTCGCTGAATGATAATGAAAAACTTTCGAGACATTTTTATCTTCCGGTTTTTGTAGGAAATTTGGGGTTAGCACGTTATCATTGTTGCTTAAGAGAGGCTGCCTAGGGCCTTTGCTTTTTCTCTCAATATAAACTTCTGTATCTTTCCAGTTGAGGTCCTCGGCAATTGTTCAAAGATGACTGTTTTGGGAGCCATATAATGTGGCAAGTGATCTCGGCAAAACCTGATGAGTTCTTGAGCATCCACATCACATCCTTCTTTTAGCTTCACAAATGCACAAGGGGTCTGCCCCCAGTGATTATCAGGCCGTGCAACAACAGCAGCCTCGAGAACATCTGGATGACCGTACAAAACCGTTTCGACTTCTACCGTGCTTATATTCTCTCCCCCGGAAATTATGATATCTTTCAGCCGGTCCTTTATTTCTATGTAACCATATGGATGTTTCACAGCAAGATCCCCACTCCGAAACCATCCACCTCTAAATGCATCATCTGTTGCCTGCAAGTCTTTGAAGTATCCACTCATCACAGTGTTTCCTCTGAACATAACCTCGCCCAGGGTTTTACCATCAGCTGGTACACTTTCCATGGTGACTGGATCTATTATGTCAACCTCCTCCAAACCAATATGCTGCATTCCTTGCCGGGCTTTCAGCTTCGATTGCTGCAGAGGAGGCAAGGACTCCCATTCCGGTTTCATTACACAGTATGTACCTGGACCATAAGTTTCCGTAAGGCCATACAAGTGATTTACGCTGAAACCCAACTCTTCCATCTTAAGAAAGATCTGAGGGGGTGGGGGTGATCCACCGGTGAATATTGTGACTTTCCGAGAAATCGGCTTTTGATCACTGGCTGATGAATTCACAATCATGTTGAGGACCGTCGGAGCTCCTCCCATGTGTGTCACATTGTGGAGGACGATGTTCTCGAATATCTTCTTGGGGGAAACATTCCTCAGGCATATGTTTCTGCCGCCCTGCGCTGCGACACCCCAAGTCAAGCACCAACCATTGCAGTGAAACATAGGCACAGTCCACAGATAAACTGGCATCGAGCTCATTCCGTGAAGGAAAACCGTCGCAAGGGAGTTGAGGTAGGCTCCCCTGTGACTATAGACAACTCCTTTGGGCCTAGATGTTGTACCGGAGGTATAATTCACACTGATAGGATCCCACTCACTCCTTGGTCTCCTTATCTCAAATCCAACATGCCCGGTTTCTAAAAAGCTTTCATACTCGTAAGTTCCCGGAACAATGCAGGTTGGAGATGAATAGTCTCTATCAGAAATCAATATTAAGATGGGTGGCTTTGAGTTTGTTTTAGCAAGAAGATCAAATGCTCCACGAGCAACTTCAAGTAATCCATGGTCTACGAATAGGACCTTGGCTTCTGAATGGGCCAGTAGGACTGAGACCATGGCCGAGTCAAGGCGTGTATTAAGCGTACAAAGAATGGCTCCGGTCATTGGAACCGCAAAATGCAGCTCATACATTGCTGGAACATTAGGAGCCAGTGTTGAAACCTGCTTAAACAATTTAAGAAAGAAAAAAAAAATGGGAATCTCATTTGATTCTGTAATTCAAAACAGCCCCTTCATGAGGTATTATACATAAAATTGGTTAAAGTTCAACCAAAACAAACAAATTCTCATCAGCACGAAAGCAAAAGGCGAGAAAGACGAGCATTAGGTACGTATCAGGGTGAATTAAAAATGAATACAAGACAGCTTGATTCTGCATGTTGAATGTTGATGGTAGATCAATCACACAGGTACCGCCCGTGAGTGAAAATCATGAATTTGTCGAAACTAAACTAGTATTCAGTCCATAAACACAGATTGATTTTCCATAAATTCTGAAACAAGATTTGCATGAAGAAGTCTTGATATTTTTCATTGGACTGATTACTGAAAACCATACTAGAATCCAGTATAAGTAATCCTTGAAGATATTAGCCATCACCAAATGGTAAAATAAGATCCAAAAATGAAACAAAACAAAGTGGCCTGGTTACAAGTTGGTGTGCCAAAGGTTTAGAACTATATAAGAGAGAGAGAGAGAGAGAGAGAGAGAGAGAGACGAACCACATCACCCCGGGAAATCCCGAGCTGGGACAGGGCAGAAGCAAGCTTGAGACAGCGTTGATGTGTCAAACTCCATGTGAACTTCTGAGAACCGTAAACAAGCGATGTCCTGTCTCTGTAAACCTTTGCAGCTCTCTCCAGGAAGCTGATGGGGGACAAAGGCACGTAATTGGCGGAGCAAAGGTGGAGACCCTCCATCGATTCCCATGACCCGGGATGTTGAAGATCATCATCCCCTGCAAAGCGAGAGAAATGGCGATAATTTTGAACAACAAATGAGTCGAGCAGGCGGATGGTGGTGGGGACCAACCGAGTCCACGAAGACTTTAGGAAGTGGATCATGGTAGACGAAGAAGACGATCAACACCAAAGACCGAGTAGTAGAGTGGACTTGGTACATATTCTTGAGGAAACTAGGTGAAACTGAACTTAAATACTGATTGGTGTTTTAGTTTTATTGGGTAGAAATGTAACGGATACGTTACCTCGTTAGTCGGGATTGGTTTGAGTCGTGGCATCCTCGAGCATATCATTCAGGGATAAGAATGGGTCAAGTTAGGTCGAATTTTTTTATCCATCCTATTCGAGAATAATAATTCCTCCACCCGAAATCTGACTCGACCCGCATAATATATATCCTCCACCCGATCCGAACTTGACCCGATTTTTGAAATATAATCTGAATCCGACCCGACTCGAAATAATAAAAAAATTATTTTTATTCAATAAAAACATTGATTTAATTAGAAAAAATATATAGAGAGATATTATTATAACTATTCTTAAATATATAAAGTAAAATTTTATTTTTTCCTGGTCGAGTCGAATTGAGTATTTTTCACCCTAAACTCAAATCTGACCGGACTCGAACATCACATTTAAAAAGTCAGACTCGACACCAACCCGAACCTGATTTTTTTTTAAAAACTAACCCGATTGGGTCGGGTTGGTCGAAACCCATCATGTTCGGGTCTATAAAGATCCCTAAATTATCATTTAGATGATATCATAATTTTTTTATTAAAAAAATGATACGATGTTATCGGTTATTTTCCCGGTATATCACCAGTGATCGGTATTATTACCGATCTAACACCGATCAGACTATATTTCTCGATCTAACACCCTTAGCAGAAAAGCGCGCCCCCTGCACTGCGCTATATGCTGATTTGGCGCCACGTGGGTATAGCGCACCCCCTGCCCCGCGATATACAGTTATCTGGCGCCACGTGGATATAGCGCGCCCCCTGATCTACGCTATACCTGGATATCTGACACGTGGGGTATAGCGCGGTGCAAGGGGCGCGCTATACCCCTAATTATCACGTCCCTATCCTCCCTATAAATACCCCCTCCTCAATCACTTTTATCACACCAATTTCTCTCAAATACTCTCTTTTTAAGGTATATTTTATAATATTTTTACTATTATGTTTTTACTTTATTTAATATTTTACTAATATAATTCTTTTGCAGATATATAATGGAAGGCAGTCTACTTCGCTCGGATGGAAATCATATATCTCTACACTTTGCTGATACGGTAACATTTTAACGTTTTAATTTAATTTAAATTATTAGTAATATTTAGTTGATTTATTATATGCATAATTATTAGATTAAGAATTAAATATCTCGACACTTTGCTGATACGGTAACATTTTAACGTTTTAATTTAATTTAAATTATTAGTAATAATTAGTTGATTCATTTAATGCATGATTATTAGATTAAGAATTAATTTTTGTAATTATTTATTTTTAGGAGAAGGACCGTGTATTAGATCCTTTTATTAGGAATCTTATGTTAGTGATACCCAGTTGTGTCTTGCCGTATTTAGTAGAGGCTGGATTCGGTTACATAGGTAGATATCAGGGTCACTGTAAAATAGAGCCAGACCTGATTTCTGCCTTAGTAGAGCGGTGGAGGCCGGAGACTCACACATTCCATCTTCCATGCGGAGAGTGCACGATCATGCTTGAGGATGTTTCTATGCACCTGGGGCTTCCGGTGGATGGAGATGTGATATCGGGGATAGCTTCCGGTTCTTGGACTACTTTGTGTCGGGATAGTCTAGGACGTGTCCCGGAAAATTTTATCGGAGGTAGGATACCGTTAAATTGGTTAGATGCCAATTTTCGGGAGTTGAGCACAGACGCATCTGAGGATGAGGTTAAGATGTATGCACGGGCATGCATACTGCAGTTGATAGGAGGGTTGCTGATGCCGGACAAATCGCGCAACCTATTTCACTGCATGTGGTTGCGATATCTTAGCGACTTTCTTCTCGTCGGATCATTCAGTTGGGGCTCGGCAGTTTTGGCTTTGTTGTACAGGGAGATGTGTGGAGCCACTGACTACAGACGTAATACTATCGGCGGATGTCTCATGCTGTTGCAGTCTTGGGCATGGTATCGATTTCCCTTTTTATGTCCTGTTGTGAAGAACCCATTCGTATTTCCACTACTTCTGAGGTAATTATAAAACTGATTTTGTATATTAATAATTTTATACAGCGTATAACAAATTTTTTCCTTGAATAGGTGGTATACTGATAGGAAAAATCATCAGGAGCTACCTGATGATTTAGAAAAAATTAGGGTGCTAATCGATTAGAAGGCTGTCACACAGGTATAAATTTTAATGTTTAAAAATCGATTTTAGATTATAGTTATATAATTAAATTATTATTTTGATAAAAATTATATATTATTTGTTTTAGTTTGATTGTGTGTCATATTCTACTGATGATGTGAGGGCGGTGATCCCACCTGAGTTGAGGGGTCCATTAGATGTTTGGATGGCGATGATCCCTCTGATCTGTTATGCGACCGTCGAGTGGCACTCCACTGATCGCGTGCTCCGGCAGTTTAGTTCGTATATGAGTTGCATAGCTTAGATAGACGCGGCAAGACAGATACAGATTGGCTGGTGAGGCATCATGGGTGGGTCGTGTTGTGGGAGGATCGACATCGGCGCCTTCCCCTTAGAAAGCCCATTTTTGATGACCTCTTGATGTATGCTAAGGATTATTATGAGTGGTTCAACAGTAACGGGAAACCGTTTCTACTACCCGAGGATGCACGAGGGCAGACCTTTCCTCGACGTCGACAAAGACGTTCACCGACACAACACCATCGTTCCCCGACTCCTGGACGGAGAGCAGGTGCTTCCGGTTCATCCTCAGCTACACCAGCAGGACCTTCCCAGCAGCCACCGCAACCATATATGATGCCGCCATCGCCTTTCCATTACCAGATGTCGCCGCCGCCTTCACCTGGTTTTATGACCCCGCCACCGTCACAGATGACCCCTCCTGGAGGCTATTATGGGTCTATGTTTGAAGATTCGACTTGGGGTTCATATACTAGATATTTGGCGGGTTCATCCTCATCACCCATGGCCGCAGCACAGACACCTCCTGTACAGTTTTCACATTCAGCGATGTCTGGGTTTTCCTAGTTTTCGCATGCCGGTGGGATAGTTAGTCATACACCTCCAGGGTTCTTATTCTATTGAGGTGCTTCATCGTCATCAGCTCCTCATCAACCTGATGTACCTGCTCAGGACGACGATGATGGTGACGACGACGATGAGTCAAAACCAGTGATACGAAGAAATCCTCCTCGAGACCGACAGCCATCGCCATGCGGAACACATTCGCGACGCATGCATCGATAGATTTTTTTTATTATATTTGTATTTACTTTATTTTGTTTAATTGTAATTTTTTATTATTTCTCATTTACTTACTTTATTTTGTTAAATTTGTTGGACTTTTTTTAATATATTTTTTTTTGTTTATTACCATTTAATATAAGTTATTGTAATTTGGTTATCATTTACCATTTAATTCTTATTGTAAGTTTATTGTATTTAAATATCAAATTGTTATTAGTTTGATAAAATTTAATAATAGTGTTCGTGTTTTTAATCTTTATCAGCGATTATCGAATGACATTAACTTGAAGTAAATGCAAATTAAAATACAATAATTATTATTTGATAAACAAATACATCATTTCCTCATCAATTGTTACTTGATGACAACAGAAGTGGACATGTTTTTCTAGTGTGTCCTGGGTTTCTACAATGTCCACATCTTCTGTCTTGTCTAGATCTTTCTCGAATATCCATATCGCAATGAATTCGATTGGATTTTGGACGACCACGCTCCCTCAATAAACTCGGATTTGGTATAATCGGAAGCCAATCTTGAACCTCATCAGAGTCTTTGTCATTACCTATGGGGGGAAACTCAAATTCGTTTACCTTAAAAACTTCAGATAGTAGGTATACGGGATCCACAAAATGGTTATAGTCTTAACGTGTATACGAGCAAGCTGCTATCACATGAGAGCATGGATACTTGAGAGCTTGAAAAAACCCGCAGTCGGACGCTCTGTCCCTTAGATTTACTCTTAACGACACAGCTTCAATCCTTTGAAGAGGTCGGGGCAACTCTGTGACACGAAACATTTTATGCCTTCTAGAGAAGCTTGTTACAGACATTCCATTTGATGCAACAATTTTTTCTGTAGATCTGCAACTAATCTAGGGTGATAGACATGATCGCCTTGCATCCAGGTTTGAGCTTGTCCCCTGAGCTTCGCAAAAAACGCCCCCAAACGAAAATATGTTGTTTTTACCAAAGCCGCTACAGGTAAGTAACGTGCACCCTTTAAGGTTGAATTGATTGCCTCAACCAAGTTGGTATTCTCGATATTCACCATCATATGCGTTCGTCCACATTTCTTTATCGATGAGGCTGATGTAATCGTATCCTTCCTCGTTCTTTGCCCGCAAATCTTTAAGCATTGATTCAAACGTTCGAGGAAGTAGTTCGTAACCTGATCAAAAAATGTATAACTTACTAACTTGCTTTCTTTACAAAATTAAAATGATCAAAAAATGTATAACTTACTAACTTGCTTTCACTTACCCATTCGCACAATTAATTGACGCTTTTATTCTTCTTGTACCTTCCATGATAGTTCGTAGCAATGTGTCGGAGACAATACCTATGTTGGACAAAGGGTGGTTAGCACATTGGACCCAAAGACTCCATTGCTGCTTTGATCCCAGCTCCGCGATCTGAAATGACACAAATTTTTTCCCTCGTGATAACATGTGCACGTAAATTTCGGAGAAAAAAAGCCCAAGAATCTGTATATTCTCCTTCGACAAGAGCAAAAGCAACTAGAAGAATGTTGCGATTGCCATCTTAAACAACTGCCAATAATAAAACTTGCTTGTATTTTCCATACAAGAAAGTCCCGTCGATCTGGACCATAGGCTTGCAGTATTTGGCAGCATTAACGCACTGTGGGTAACTCCAAAAAACCCGGTAGAATTGGCATCGATCGCGAAGAACTCGATCATTATGGTATG